GAACAGCTGGTACTTTCGAACTGCTGACCTTGAGGTTCGCAGCCTGACTCGTAACCATTATGCTAGGTACATTCATTGTATCTATTCTACAGATAGGGAAAACAAGGCTCATTAAGATGGTCACTAGTTCAAAGTCAGGGGCAAAAAGTGGAAGAATCTGGGTTTGAACCCTCAAGGCAGGAGTTACCACTCAGGTGCAGGTGGGTACTTTTCTCAGTGCCCACACCTATATTATTATAATAGTAACGCAATTTAGTTCAATGCCAGGCCTGATGCGGTGTGTTTTACTGCTACACAGGTGAGTAAGACAGTTCAATTAGGGAGGACACATACAGAATGATGCATTGTCAGTACATGGAAACTCCAATGATGTGTTCCAACTTGGGAATCAGGACAGCTGCAGAGTAGAACTGTTGTTACTCTCAATGGATGGGGTTAAGATATCTATGACTCCCTGTTGTTGTTATGTGCCATCGAGTCGGTTCTGACCCATAGCGACCCTGTATAGGGTTTCCGAGGGTGTAAATCTTTACAGGAGTAGAAAGCCTCATCTTTCTCCCGCAGAGCAGCTGGTAGTTTCGAACCGCTGACCTTAAGGTTCGCAGCCCGATTCGTAACCACTACGCTACCAGAGCTCCTTACTGCCCTTAAAAATAAATAGAAACCTCTAGCATTATTGCACACATCTGTCGGTTTGTCGTACTGTGGTAGATTGCATGTTGCTCTGGTACTGGAAGCTATGCCACTGGTGCCAGCTGGGTCATCCTTGGTAGACAGCATGAAGACCAGGACCAGGTCTGTTTGAATCATCTTTGGATGCCCAGACCTGGCACATACATAGCATATCTCAAGAATTAGCCATAGAATGCCGTTGTCTATCGGAACAAATTCCTTAGCCTTTCTCGGGCTCTCTGAAATGGGACTACTACTAATAAGGCATTTTACAGATGAGGAAATTGAGCCTGGTGGTGCAGTGACTAGGTACGTGGTTGATGTTCAAATGGATTGGTGTTCAAACCCACAAGCTGCTCAGCAGGAGGAAAATGTGTCAGTCTGCTTTTGTAGCAATTACAGCCTTGGGAACCCCCATAAGACAGTTCTCCTTTGTCCCGTGAGGTAGCTGTGAGCTGGAATCAACTTGAAGCAATGTGTAATAATGCCTACCACCTGGACCTGTTGTGAGGATGCAATGAGTACATTCATGCCTGGCACACAGAAAGTGGGCGTCCTGGTGTGGAGCCGTGGTGTAATGCGCTGGACTGCAAGGTTGGTTTGAATCGCAAGGTCCTTGGTTCAGTTTCACCAGCTGCTCTTCGGAAACCCTATATAGGGTCGCTATGGGTCAAAATCAACTCCATGGCACTTAACAACAACAACAACAACACAGGGAAAGGATTTGATCAAAGTTTTTTTTTACAGGAAACTGAGAAACTGGTAAATGGGCATGACATTTTATTTTGGAGATAATGGGAAAGTTCTGGAATGGGATAAGAGGTGGCAGTTACACAACACTGTGAATATGCTAAATGCCACCTACTTGTCCACTTCAACATAATTCATTTTTTCTTATGTGAATTTAACCTCAGTACATTTTGAGAGTCCTTGAGGTGGGACAGTGGGTTAATGGGCTGTACTACAAAGTTGGCTTGATCCGCAAGTCAGTGATTCAAGCTTACCAGCTGCTCCTCAGAAACCCCATACAGGATCACTCCGAGTTAGAAATGACTTGATGGCACTAAACAACAATAGCATTTGAAAAAAGTGTTACTACTAATTCTTCTAAAGGCTGGCTTAGCTGAGAGAACAGCTAGATCGTTAAATCCACTGCATGTTTCTCTATGCTTGCTCTCCTTCTAGAAACAACTAACTAAGTCTGTTTTCCACCCGGCTTCTTCTGGAACCTTCTGGAAACACTGGCTTGGCTTGGTGTCTATGGCTCCACCCTCTCATGGTCCTCCCAACTCACTCAGACATCATGTGTAGCCGGCATTTCTTGGGCCTTAGCTATGTGGGAAAAAAATTATAATCCTGTTTATTATATTCGGGTAACTTTTTTATTTTCTGAAGTAAAGGCTTTATGATCTCTCTCTTTTTCTTTGGTTACTTCCTGAAGTGAGTAAAGAATTTATGGTCACTTTCTTTTTATTTAAACCACCTCCTGGAGTAAGGAATTTATAACTTTCTTTTTCCTTAAACTACTTCCTGGAGCAAAAACTGACCCCTCTCCTCTTTTCCTAAAGTAGGAATGTGCGCCTTAAGAATTTAAACTAGCCAACCGAGTAAGGGAATAGATTGTGCAGTCAAAACCCTAGCCAATAGGGTGAGACACAGCCTTGAGACTTGCGTCAGGGATTAAAAACCTGAGCGGACTGCCCACTCGGTGTGCTCGCTAGCCTGTTCGTGTATGTACAGTTATGTGCAAGCACCCTCTTGCAGGAGTAAATTTTACTTTGCCAAGGTAATTTAGTCTCACCGAGTGTCTTTTATGCGACATCGGGATTCATTTCTAACAGCTGCAGATCCTCTTGTTCACTCTGTTCAGCCTATCTCTCCTGCCTACAACTCCAATGACAATCCACACCCAATTTAAAGACCCACATCTAAGATATAGACACACTTAGCCAATGGCTCATCTGACATTCCCTTTGGGCTGCTCAAGATCCCTCTTTCCAAGAGGGAACCCAGGCTCTTTCCTCAGAACTCCGCCTTGTCCTCTCCCAGTGGCTCCTGCCATGGGGAAGGATTACCCATCCACCCATTTCTTCCAAAACTGTAGCCATCCTGATATTTTTCTTTCCCTCACCCTTTATAACCGAATGCCTAACAGTTTCACTTCTCTGCCTATGCCCCATACTCCTCATCTGTAAAACGTGTGTCACAACAGACCTGAAACATACATATACATCAGTTACTATTGCTGTGTAACAAGTAATCCCCAGATTGAGTAGTTTATGGTTTTGTGGGCCAGGGAATGCAGAAGGGCTCTCCTGGGCATTTCTGACTCAGTCTCTCATTCACATGAAGTAGGATGGTATCTGGAGTTGTTGGCACTGGACTGGACATCATGGGTGATTCACCCATATGGCTGGCAATCACAAAGGCAGGTACTATCATTATCATGCCCATTTCAATGATGAGGAAACTGAGTCACAAGAAGGTTGGGTAATGGATATATCCAAGGTCACACAGCTAAGAAGGAGGTAGGAAGGTGTGGTGTTATGAAGTATCTAATGTCTCTTCTAGTCATAGTCTGTAACCAAAGAATGTTTCTGCCCTGCTGGGTCTGGGTAAGAGAAGGTGGGAGAAGATAAGGATAGGGTGACGTGATTTAGCTGTGGACGCCAGCAGAATTCATTGTCATTGTAAAAACTTGACACTGGACACGGGTATAGAATGATCTTTCTCAGAAGCCGGAGGGGAGATCTCACTACCATCAAAGAAAAGAGCTCGAAGTAGAGTACAACACTTCTTGGGCCTTATGCACTGAACTTTCTTGATGCAGGGACAGAAAACTGTGACATCAGAGGACAGTCAGAGCAGCAGCAGCAGAACCAAGAACCCAGAGTATGAGATTGAGCATTGATGAGACTGAGCATTGGGCTCCCCAGCCCACAAAGCAAGGAACGCTGAGTGGCTTTGGGTAGGAAGCTTGCTTGTAGAGTGGGGTGCCTCAAAGCACTTAATTGGGGAAGCAAGATCCAGGTTTATTCTGCTTAAGGCTTATAATGGTGTGGTGTGTCCTGTGGGCATTTATGAGCCGGTGTCTGGGAACAACTGTGCCCTGAGCACTTCTGACCCCAAACTGTAATGGTAAGCACTGGACTTTGAGCTGCAGTTCCACAGTTCAAGACCTCCAGTCGCTCTACAGGAGAAAGATGAGGTTTTCTGCTCCTGCAAAGATTTTAAAGCTTATACAGGGTCGTTATGAGTCAGAACCGACTCGACGGTACTTAATAACAACTTCTCTACTATCAACTCTGCAACTCTGAGTAGGGTGTCT